TTCAGAAAAGTTGGCAAGTGCCCATTCCCTGGGGTATTTGGAAGGTCTCTTCTGGAAAAGTCTTGGGGAAGGCCTGTCTCGGTGGGTTTGCTCTTGTGGAGCCTTGGGAAACTCTATCACAGTGGCCTGGTAGGTATTTTGGGGGGCGGGGTTACCCGGAAGGTCGTTATTTTAGGTTTCTGGGAATGACTGGTACTACCTACATGTAGGGCCACGATGATGTTTGCTTGGTCGTTATATTCTATTTGGGAAAGACCGTGGTAGAGGGTGTCATGCACGGGTGTCGAACTCATCGTCACCAGGGACCACATCAGCTTCCCAGTGGCCTTCAAAGGGACGAATGTCATTTTAGGACTGTTTAAATGTAACTGCTCCTTAACTGTTAAGGAATTGAAATACCTTCCGGACGAAGGTGGCTTCAGTCTTCTCCTCTCCACAGGGTCCCTCTTCGCCGAGTCTACACGGGAAGCGGGCCCCTGAACCCACTGAGGGGATGGGGAAGCCCACGAGAGGCCCTCAGGTTGGGGGCCCCCTCCCCTGGGGGCAATTCCACCCTTGTGTTTCTCTCCAATTTCATGAACGTGAGTCACAGCCCCCCCATAGCCCCCGCCCTCCCGCCCTCAAGTTAAGTTCTCCATTCATCATCTCTCTCTTTTTTTTTTCTTTTTTTCATCTCTCTCAGGCCCAGTATTATGGGACAATTGGGCTGGGGACGCCCCCACAAAACTTCTCAGTCGTCTTTGACACTGGCTCCTCCAATCTCTGGGTCCCGTCCAAGAGATGCCATTTTTTCAGTCCGCCCTGCTGTGAGCTTTCGTGGGGGACAGTGAGGCTGAGCGGGGTTCAAGGGAGAAGGGGGAATCCCAGCTTCCCAAGGGATTCTGAGGTGCCCAAGGGACACTCTGCTCCCGCAGTGACGGCTCCCTGACCTTCTGACCTAGGGTTCCACAACCGCTTCAACTCCAACGCCTCCAGCTCCTTCAAGCCCAATGGGACTAAATTCGCCATTCAATACGGAACTGGGCGGCTCAGTGGCGTCCTGAGCGAGGACAAGCTGACTGTGGGTGACCTCTGCCCCCAGGAAGGCTAACCCCCAATGTCTAAAATGTATTAGGAAGGGGCTTGAGGAGGGTGAGCGTCCTGGGCCAGTGGGCGGGGCTTCCCAAGCATGGAGGCGGGTTTCCTGGCTAAAGGGGCTGGCGTCCCTAAGGGGAGAGGTGAGGCTTTCTGAGCAGCTGGAGTTGTTTCCAGATGTCCTTGGCTGGGGGCCTCTCAGGGGTATGTAGGAAATGTCCCCGCAGAAGTGTCTGACTCCATTTGAATCTTCCCCTAGATTGGGGGAACCACGGGTGCATCGGTGATTTTTGGGGAGGCTTTGTGGGAGCCCAGTCTGGTCTTCACCTTTGCCCTCTTCGATGGGATACTGGGCCTCGGCTTCCCCATTCTGGCTGTGGATGGAGTTCAGCCCCCACTGGATTCCCTGGTAGACCAAGGCGTACTGGATAAGCCTGTCTTCTCCTTCCACCTCAACAGGTAACGGGAGAGGGATTACCTTCCTGTGAGCCCTAAGCCCAAGGAGGAAGCTCCGCCCACCTTCAGGAAGTTCCACCTTCCATTCGGGAAGTCACTGAGCTCCTCTATTTAGGAAGTCATCCACCCAGTACCTGAAGTTCACCTACCCAATACAAGGAACATCCGAGCCCTATGTATAAGTCCCACTCACTAAGCAGCACCTTCGGATATGCCAGAGAAGCTCATGATCAGTTTAAAGCTCTATGTTTCCAACTGAAATCAGGGAATCCCATGCTCTACTCAATCAAATAGTCATTAAGAATCCCCCTTCTCACCATAAAGCCCAAATTCCATCTGAGAAAACACAGCAGAAGTCTGGAATTGCCCATTTTTATCCCAGATCCACTCACCTTTTAGGAAGCTCAGAAAGTTCCCCCCCATGGGGGTAGGGGAGGGGGTGGGGAGTCCCCACCTTCCCTCCTAGAGGCCCATCCCCCACAGGTAGAGAGAATCCTGTGCCCTTTCCCTTATTCTGACCACCAGCCTACTCAGGAAGTCCCACCCACCTCTTGGTTTGTCCCGCCCCCTCATCTGCAGGAAGTCCTGCCCCCTACTCCCACCATTCTCAGCCAAGCCAGAAAGCCTGTGGCCTCTGAATTCTAAGACATGCAATTCAAAGTCTCCCCACCCACTAGGAAGCCACCCCATTCCTGCACAATCACACCTTTTGGAGCCAAGTCAGAAACCACAATGCTCCACCTAAATTTTCCCCCAAAAGGAACCTCAGAGGCCTTACTCCTGGCCTATTCATCAGTTTTGGCTCAACTGAGCTCTTTTAAAATCTACCCCCCAAAGTCCCACGTTCCACAGCCAAACGAGGAAGTCCCCCACCCACACAAGGAAGCCTCCAAGACTGTAAGACCCTCATCTCCACCAAGAAAAGCTGCATTTCTTTGCACTTCTTGCCTGGCCTCCAGCCCCAACACCTAGGCCCTGCCTGTATCTCGCTGCCCCGTCCCGAACCCAGAAACCCACCCTCGTCCACTCGTGGGGCTGGCAGGGCCGACTCTGGTGACACGCTGACAGCACTCTGTCTCTGCAGGGACCCTGGAGTGGTTGACGGAGGAGAGCTGGTTCTAGGGGGCTCGGACCCAGCACACTACATCCCACCCCTCACCTACGTGCCAGTCACAGTCCCTGCCTACTGGCAGGTCCACATGGAGCGGTGAGGGGCCTGGCCGCCTAGGTCGGCAGCAGTGGGCTGGAGACTTATCCCCAGTGTCCCGGCAGGAAGGGCACTGGGGGCCCGGACCCCTGGGTCCGAGGTGGGAAGGGCTGGGGACCTGGGCTCCTGGGTCTGAGGGAGGAGGTGGCAGACTGGGACCCTTGGGATACTGGCCCCAGTGACGGCTCCCTCTGCATTCACAGTGTGAAGGTGGGCACAGGGCTGACTCTTTGTGCCCAGGGCTGTGCTGCCATTCTGGACACGGGCACGTCTCTCATCACGGGACCCTGGGAGGAGATCCGGGCCCTGAATAAAGCCATCGGGGGATTTCCCCTGTTGAGGGGGGAGGTGAGGACTCGGGAGGCTGGGGCCAGAGGGTGGGAATCAGGTGGCCAGGCGGTATTTCAAGAGCAGAAGGCACTGGAGCTTGTGAGTGGCCGGGGGAAGTGGGAGGAAGCAAGGACACCTCCCGAGTGTCTGCACTGAGTGACTCAGTGGATGTGTGGAGATGATGACGCAGGGTTCTTCCAGGTCTGAATATCTGTGACTCCATCACTGTGCTCTTAGTGCCTCTGAGACAGTGGAGTAAACTCAGTTCCCGAGGTTCTAACTCAAGTGCCTAAGACGTATGTAGGCCTTTAATGAGCCAAAGGAACTCGGTAGATCAGAGTGGTCAAGGCCGAGGGTTGGAATCCAGCTCGGCCTTTCCTGGCTGGCTATCCATTCTGGACAAGTCCTTTAACATTCCTCGGCCTGTTTCCTAACCCCTAATACAGGGTTACCGATACTCACCTCTTAGGTGTGTTGGGGTTGCATCCATTAATCTTTTTAAGGTGCTCACGACAATGCTTTGCTGCCTCTGTTGTTGCTGTTATCATCTTCCCAGAGTGTTCTACAATCTCTAATGCAACCTTGTTCTCCCCATTCCTGGCCTCCTCAACAAAGTCATGACTAGTGGTTGCTCAGGAAGATAGACTTCTTGGGTTATTAATAATAGCCTAATATGGTATTGCTAGGACCCTGGGAGTGGTGGGAATTGAGGCGAACCGAAGAGCAGACACCCCATCAATCTAAAAAGGTAGCTCTCAGCTCCAGCCAAGTATGTGAGGAAAGCCAGACCTTCTGGTTTGTTGGAGAAACCTGACAACATTATTTGAAAGACCCTGGTTTGTACATAATAATAATAATAGCACTTACTATGTGTCACCCTTTCACCAAGCTAACTCATTTCTTTCTCACACAACATCCCTATGAGGTATTATCATCTCCCTTTACAGGTAGGAAACTGAGGCAGAGAGGTTAAGTAACTTGTATAAGGTTGCGCAGCAGCAGACTCCACAGGATACAAAGTATACCGCCATAGCACACAGTTGGTAATGGGTTTTAAAAACATTTTAGACACTGTGTAAAACAAACTAAATGCACCTGGGGGCCCCCAAACGAGCCACCAGTTTGATTCAAAGAAAGCCAAAGGGAAGTGCTGACAATTGCACAGGGTGAAAGGCCAGATGCGAAGGCTAGAGAAGGCAGCAGGGCCAGACACAGGAGGCCCTGAACATCGAGCTGCCCAGCAAGGTGTGGCACTGGGGAGCCGCAGATAGCATTCGAGCAGAGCAGGAATCCCTCATCTCCGCTCGTTCCTCTTCTTCCTCAGCACATTATCCAGTGCTCGAAAATCTCAACGCTCCCTCCAATCTCCTTTAACCTTGGGGGCGTCTGGTTTAACCTCACCGCCCAGGACTATGTCATCCAGGTAGGTAGTGCTCACAAAGACGTCAGAGTGGCGAGGTAAGTGGGAGTGTGAGAGGGTGGAGCTGCGAGTGAGAACTCAAGACCCAGAGACGAAGTAGAGGCCACAGAAACCATTTTTGTGCCCGGGTAGTTAGTGGGCAGGGTGAAGCTTTGGCTCCGGGGAAGAAGCGAGCTTAGTGGGCGTGACACCCAGTGGCTTGGCTTGTCATCTTGCAGATTACTCTGGGTGGCATCCGTGTCTGCTTGTCTGGCTTTGGTGCTCTGGACGTGCCTCCGCCCGCAGGGCCCTTCTGGATCCTTGGAGATGTCTTTTTGAGAAGCTATGTGGCAGTCTTTGACCGCGGGAACAGGAAAGAAGGTGCCCGAGTAGGGCTGGCGCGCGCTCGCTCTCTGGGTGCCTGACAGCTAAGGGGTGGGTTCACGCAGGCGCAGTTGTGCTTGAAGCCCTGGATTGACCCGTGCACACTATGATAAATGAGGCCCCGCTACTCAGTAAAAATTCGCTATTTCCATTGAACCTACCAGGGTAGCTTTTTTTATTTTTAGATGGGTAATTTTTGAAGAGGAAAAACTAGTGTCCGGACCTCTGTAATTAAGGATAGGATGATGGTATCGCTCCTTCAGGGTTCACACTGGTGTGGGTGTCCTGTACTACAAACCCCACAAAGCTCTACGATTACACTGCGTCAAAGGCACTCCGCCCGCGGAGCATCACGGGCATCGTAGTCCAGGCCGTGTTCACAGCCTGCCGGGGGCGGGCGCAGACACAACAAGGTGGGAGGCGATAGGTCGCGACGGCAGCGACAGGTGGCAATGGCTGTTGGCTGCAATTGTAAAGGGTTTTCCGATTCTCGTTCTAAGGGGAGGCGATGTCATTCCGAGACTTCATCTCCTGATCATTCTCCTCTTGGGTCCTGGACCCCTCTAAAGGCGGGGCTTGAAGCCCCCGAGTTGAGGGGAACTGTGCTGCCCCTCCTCCGGCGATGATGTCACTTACCCCTCCGCAGCCTTTTGCTGCCCAGAGCTGGGTCACCCCTCCCCCCATCGCCAGCCCGGGATTACCCCATCCCCGCCCCGCCTCGACTAGGGGTGAGTACGGGGGAGCGTACAAAGGCTCAGGGAACCGGGGCGGAAAGGCAGTCCAAATCCCAGTAGTGGAGGCGGGGGACTCGGGAGGCGGGGACTCAAAGATTACAGTGGAGATATTCCCCCTCAATAACAGGCCAAAGGCGGTTGGAGGATCTCGGGGGACAAACATCATGGGCAAAGTCCCCTCATTTTCAGCTTTAGTGTCCGGGAGACCTCTTTCCTGGATCTGGAACTGATAGATATGGGGGCGGGGAAGCAAGATGTTAGAAGTCAGGAACGGAAAGACTCCCAATTCCAGGACCTTGGGAAATGGGGGAGTGAGATTTAGGGAGGGGGCGCTGAGGATGATAGAGGTGGGAGTTAGGACCTTTCAGGAATTTTGTGCTTTGAGGACCTGGGAAAGGCTAGACTGGGAAAGAGGAGGGACGGGCAAATGATCTAAAGATGTGGACACTGGCCTCCCCGTTCTTAGTATCAGTCGCTAAAAATCGAGTCCACTTGCCCTGGTCTGTCTGAGGGGCTGAGTGTCCCATAACCAGAGCCCTCATTTGCCTCCAGAAGCCCCCCCCCCGCATGGATGGAGAACCCAGGCCCACAAGTCCTTCACATATCCTGGAGGGGCCTGGGGACAGCCATAAAGGAGTGATGGCATCCAATTTCCCAGGGTCTGACGGAGTCTGGACCATCCTATTGCTCCTTGCTGCCACCTCCTTCCACCTCCCATGGTCCCTAATCCAGGGTCTCATTCCATACTCTCCCCTATCCAGCCCCACACCCCCACCCAGCCGGCACTTTCTCCCACACCTGACCTTTGCGAAGATGCTGATTTAGTAACTTGATCTCGTGCCTGGCTGCTGTCAAAAGCAGAAAAGTAGAGTTGTGGGGGTCGGATGGTGAGGATAATCTTGGATGGTTGACTAAGGTCCTTACCCTAGCCACTACTACTAACCCCTAGAGTCTACCCAATCCCTGCTCCAGCCTCCACCCCCCACCCCTAACTTGCCCAGAACTTCATTCAACCCAAGCCCTCACCTCAGGATTCACTGTTTTTGCCTGGGGATACACCAAAATTCGGGACAGAGAGGAGTTGGAAGCCCCGATGTCTTTTCTCTGTCCTCCTGGGTCCTGTCGGGGGCTTGAGGACTACTGGAGGATCCTGGATCAGGGACACTGGGGAGCCCCGAGTCTGAGGGGTGACGGAAACTACCTCTCTGGTCTGCAGGACAGCTCTGCAGTGACGCAGCCTGGAGCCCTGGCCAGGATGGGGGTTAGAAGGGATAATGGGGGAGGGTAGAGCCTGAGAGAAAGGAACAGAGATCCATCGATTCAGAGACAGGGACAAAGACTGAAGGACAGCGGGACAGAGTCCCAAAGTAGTGCTAGCAGAGAGAGAGAGAGGCAGAGACTCGGAAGGAGAGGGATAGGGACCCGTGAAGGGGACCAAAAGAAAAAGCGCAGAAAGAAAAGGCAGTGGGGGGAGGGCAGAGACAGAGAAGGGGGGAAAGATACAGGGAGGGAAGTCCTACAACAAGAGTGAGGGGAACAGACCCAGATGAATGGGCAGAAATCCAGAGAGTGGGAGAACAAAGCCAGGGAGGGGGGTAGTGTGGAATAGAGACACAAGGAGGAGAGACAAGAGACCTAGGGAGAGGGGGACAGAGGTCCAGAGAGGAAGGCAAATCCCTGAGGGAAAGGTACAAAGACCAAGAGAAAGAGACTCGGGTGGCAGTATCGAGACACGGTGGTAGGAGAGCCAATTGAGGCTTAGAAGGGAGGCAAAGACTCAAGAAGGGAAACAGATTCAGAGAACAATGGGACAGTGACCCAGAGAAAGGGAGACTGAGAAAAGAGAGGCCAGGGTCTCAGAGGGGTGAGGGCAGAGACGGGAGGACAAATCTAAGAGAAAGAGAATAAAAAGAGACACAGAAACGGAAGCAGGGGTAGGTGGGGGGGCAATACGAACCACACGCCGCCCTGCAGAGGGAGGCGGCGGGCCAGGGACCTAGCAGCCAGAGAAAGCCCGCAACCCTGACCCGCCCCCTCCACTCCCACAGGCACTACCTCCTCCCGCCGCAGCCCCAGCCGCAGCTGCTGGCCCCGCCCCAACCCCTGCGCCTGCGCCCTGCTACCCAGCCGCTAGGCCAGCCTAGGGGGCGGGGCCGGGCCGCATTTGGGCAGTGAGCCTAGCTCTGGCCCCGCCCCTCCACTAACCCCGCCCACTTCCCTTCTTTTCCACCAGGACTCTTTCACCTTACCCCGCCCGGTTTCTCATTGGCCTCGCCCATTGCCTCCGCCTTAGGCTGTGCTTCCGGCAGCGCTTTGGTTTCTCCCCTCTTCCTTTCATAGGGCTCTTTCTTTATCAGTCTTCATCCATCCTTTGAATCTTCTGTCTGCAGTCGGCCGTTATCTAGACCTAGTCCCCTTTCCCTCACCAGTTGGAAGTTATCGCCCCAGCCCCTAAGTTCGCATTGACTCTTAGGACTCTCTCCCAGGTTCTCTAGTTCTCAAGACTCCTCGTTCCAGGTCTCCCCTCCCGCCCCGTCCAGCCTAGCAGCTTTGTACACTTCACAGGTCCCTTAGCATCCCCATCTCCCGTTCCTTACTCTCTTAGGCCTACCCCGCCCCAGCCTAGCCTGATTGCTTTCAAACCCCTTAATGACTCGGCCCTCCCTTAATCTTGCCCTCCCACAGCCCATTCAAGACGTTTACTACCCTTAGTAGACCCCACCCACCTTCCTTAGTCCCGCCCCATCCACCCTGACACTAATTACCCCGGTACAGCCCGGTCTAATCAGGCCAAACCTGAAGCCCCGACCAAGTCCCTTCTTTACCTCGTCCCGACCGGTATTCCTAGCCAGGCGCTCTCAGGTTCTCAGGCCTCACTCATCTCCGCCCCTTCTCACTGGGTCTCCGTCCATGTAACTTTTGCCCTGTCCCCTTTTAACAGCCTAATACCATTTCGCATTACCATACTCTCCGTTCTCCTTTTCTAGCTCCCGCACTCATTTAGTCCCGCCCCCTCACTGTGCCAGACCAATCAAGAAATTTCTACTACCTTTCTCGACCCCACCTCTTTGTAAGATCCATCCTTCCCCATCCGAACAATGTTAGGAGCCCAACCCCGCAGTCTCCAGATGTCCTTCCCCACCAGGTTCTGCTTATTCACTCTTTAAGTCTGACCCCGCGATTTTTCTCTGTCCACTCAGAGCGGTCTCCACCACTGTGGCCCCGCCCCCTCGCTTCGCCCTTCAAGGCTGATCCTGCTTCTTTAAATAGCTTGGACTTGTCCCTTTTTTTCTGCCCCGCCCCATCCTTTTTTCATTTTAATCAGATTTCTTATATCTAACCCCGCCTCTTGGGTTTTCTGTGCTGCCAACCCAGCCAACTTTAGAGGTGCGTCCCACCTCCTACAACACCTCGCCCCGCCCCTGCTCTCGGAAAGATCCAGTCCGTGTGTTTTATCTGCTGCCCCACCCCACTCTGCTTGGTCCGGTTAGAGTCCCCGCCCATCTCCCCTCTCTTGTCTTCAACTCCGCCTCAGTACCCCTCAGACCAATCATTTCGGTTAATCTCCAATTTAGGCCCCGCCCTCTTATTTATTGCCTTTCCCACCCAATCCCGTCTGTCTCTCCCCTGAGGCCCCGCCCTCAAGGCCCCGCCCCTACAGCCCCGCCCCCCCGGCCAATGTTGAGCTCAGTCTGCGTCTCCTCCTTCCGCCGGCGCCAGGGGGCCAGCAAGCAGCAGCCTGCGCCGCCGCCGCAGCCTCCCGACACCCCGCCGCCGCCAGCGCCGCCGCTGCAGCAGCAGCAGCAGCCTGCGCAGCCCGGCCCTGCCGCGTCCCCGGCGGGCCCCCCGGCATCCCAAGGGCCCGGGGACTGGCGCGCCGAGCCATGCCCCGGGCTGCCGGCGGCGGCCATGGGGAGGCACGGCGGCGGCGGTGGCGACAGCGGCAAGATCGTGATCAACGTGGGCGGCGTGCGCCATGAGACGTACCGCTCGACGCTGCGCACCCTGCCGGGGACGCGTCTGGCCGGTCTGACGGAGCCTGAGGCGGCAGCGCGCTTCGACTACGACCCCGGCACTGACGAGTTCTTCTTCGACCGGCACCCGGGCGTCTTCGCCTACGTGCTCAACTACTACCGCACGGGCAAGCTGCACTGCCCGGCCGACGTGTGCGGGCCGCTCTTCGAGGAGGAGCTCGGCTTCTGGGGCATCGACGAGACCGACGTGGAAGCCTGCTGCTGGATGACCTACCGCCAGCACCGCGATGCTGAGGAAGCACTCGACTCCTTCGAGGCGCCCGACTCTTCGGGAGCCGCCAACGCTGCCAACGCCGGGGGCGCCCACGACGCGGGCCTGGACGACGAGGCGGGCGCGGGCGGCGGTGGCCTGGACGGCGCAGGCGGCGAACTCAAGCGTCTCTGCTTCCAGGACGCAGGCGGCGGTGCCGGGGGGCCGCCAGGGGGCGCGGGCGGCGCGGGCGGCACGTGGTGGCGCCGCTGGCAGCCCCGAGTGTGGGCGCTCTTCGAGGACCCCTACTCGTCGCGGGCAGCCAGGGTGAGCGTGCCGTCGGAGTCCCCACCCCTCTCTCCTCCCCACGCACTCCCAGACCCTCAGAATCCTATGGCCGATCCCAGCCCCTCTCTTTCTCTCAGCCTCCCAGTCTCGTAGAAGCCTTTACCCCCAACCCTGAGTTTCCCGCACTCTTCGGAACACACCCCCCTCTCCCGGCCATCCTCAGATCCTCAGGATGGCTCTCCAACCTTCAGAAACCCCGAGATTCCTTCAAGTACCACCCCACTTCTCTAGGTCACCCTAGACCCTTAGAAACTTGCTCCTGGGCTCTTCTGAACAACCTCTCCCCTTCTGACACTCTCAGAAGACCTTTCCTCAAACCTCGGCCAAAGTATCCCAAGTCCTGTGATACCTGCCCTCCTTTCCCAGCCCCCTGCAGACCCCTGCCAGAAGCCCCCTCTGCAGTCCTCAGTTCCTCCATTCTCCCAACACCTCCCTGATTCCTTTTATCTTTGCCCCCTCCCTCACCCCCCACCCCGAAGTTTGAGTCTCCTGACTATTTTCGACACCCCCCCCCACCGGATTCTTCTGCCAAAGTCTCAGAAGACTCCCCACCCTAATTTCAGCACATCCCGAACCCCTCTGAAAGTCCAGACCACTTGATCTGGCTAAGACACTTTCCCCTCCCCTTCACTGCAGTGATAAGTCTGGGGACATCTTTCCTCCTGGGACCCTCTGCACCTCTCTGTGTTCAAGTCCCTTCGTGCATCCCTCACACCAACTCCCATTCCAAGGACTTGCCCTGTAAAGTGCCAGACTTGCCCAGAGGCTTTCTCAGTCCTCTGTGTCTCCTGAGCCCCCAATAATATGCCTGTTCTCTTCAGGACCTCCCCTGAGCTTTCCAGAATTGCGTCCTCCTCACTCGTACATTCTCCCAGCGTCTTCCTTCCATCATTTAAGCTGAACAGCCTCCATTCCCTCCCTCTGGGACACCCCCCATCCCCGGACTGCAGCCCCTCCCCTAGTGGATAAAGGACTTTTTCTCTGCTCCAGAACTTTGCCTAACCTTAATCCTTGGGACCTCCCTCAAGTTGTCAGCCCCAAAACTTCCTTCTCAAAATAGCTCCCAGTTCTTTCGACCCTGCCTTGTTATCTTTCCACCCGCCCCCAGGCCTGCTTGCTCCCCCTTTTTCAGCTCCTTCCCTCCAGCCCAAAGCCCTGGACCCAGCTTTTCAGCTTCTCCCCGCACTCCAAGGTGAACCAAAGAGAATACACACTCCAGCCATATATTTCCTCCACCCTTATCTCCCTTGAATTCCAGATTTTCCCCGAGCTCCCTCCATCTTCCCCCCAAAAAAACTTTTATAACTTCAAACATTTGTAACTTTCCAAGCTCAATGGCCTCCCACCCCCCTTTTCCCTTGAATCTCTTCCTCCTAACTTCCTCCGCGTGTTGGAAGAGAGGAGGGTAGTGCGACGTGGGGGGAATTAGAAAGAGAGAAAGAGCGATTCCAGGGACCCCTCCTAGCCTCCTGGGAACCTAAACACCCTGAGGAGCCAGTCCGGCCCCCTCCCCCCACGGTGCCGCGTCCTGAGCTGGGAAGGACGCGGAGCCGCAGTGCCGCATTCGTGCTGGGGGAGGGAACAACGGGGAGGGGGGCCCGGAGGCTCCGCATAAAGTTTGGTCCCGGGGAAGCGCTGAGTTGGCGAGATTTGGGGTTGGGTGGGGGGAGGTGGAGAGGACGAGGTACAGAAGGGACGTGACCCTACATGCCCCGTCGGGCTTCTAGGTGGCCCCTTCGCCCCATGGTCTGGGGTGCCCTTCCTTCTTGCGACCCCATTGAAGGGTGCTGAGGTGAGGCTAGATGTCCGGGACAAGCTACAGGGGTCACTCATTGACTCCACAAATATTTTTGAGTGTCCAAGGCATGGCATTCACTTTCCAGCCTCAAGTGAGATAGCTTGGCAGAGTTGGGAGCTGAAACCAATGAAAAGTGGAGGGTCTGGCCCGACCTCCCCCTCCTCCCCTTCCTCGTAATCTCTCCTTTTCTTCCTACAGGGACTTTGTGCCCTAACTCTTCTGCTTTTGAGCCTTCTCGGGACCAGGGGTTAAACTAGTCCCGATGCTGTCCAGCCTCTACAGCTGCACACTGCGGCGAAGCCCACCTTCCTTTCTGTGTCCTGGGAGGGAAGGAGTTAATACAGCTCGGGGCCGCGGCCTCCCGCGGCGAAGCGGCAGCACTGCGGCTGCGCGAGGCCAGCTGGGTTGCAGCCCCGAAGGGGTTAAGAGGGCTCCCAGCCCCTGCGGCTGCGCACTGCGGCGGGGGAACTGTCCGCGGTGCTGGCCGCCGCGCGCCCCGCCCCCCGGCCCGGGCCGCCCGCCCCCACTGCGGTGCCGCATCCTGAGCCAGCCGAGCACCCGGCTAGGAGCAGGCGCGGGGGAGCTCCAGGCATGCGCTCTGCGGCGGCCTCTGGCCTCTTAAACCACTGCGGAGAAACGAAGAGGGGGGCGGGGCAGAAAGGGCCCACGCTGACCCCCGCAACCCTCCCCAGGATTTAGGGTCCTCTCTGCAGCCGGACCCCGGCCCCCCTCTCTTCTCAGCAACCCCAGAGCCTTCCACCTCCTCTCCCCATCTGATGAAAGCCCCCTCTTTGCCCCAACATTAATTTTCTTCCCTATCCAAGGACTAACCTCACTCCTTCACCGTGTATTGGATAAAGCCCACTGGCATCTGAAGGGGCCTGATCCATCCAGTTCTTCCAGATCTTCATGCCCTCCCTTCCTCATCAAAACCCACAACACAGTTTGGTAGGACTCCGGTCATCCTCCATCCTGAGAGGACCAAAGCATGCCCCCACCCCCAATTCTCTGCACCTCTGAAAAGCCCCTTCACCTACTTTGGCCCTAAGTCCTGTGCTGTCTCCCAGGTCTAGGCCCCTGACCCTCCATTCCTCTTGAGAGCCTTAAACCCCACCTCTCTTCATATCTATCCCCCTCTCTTTCAGCAGACTTGAACTTCTTCCCCGCTTCAGGGCCCAAACACCTCTCCTCCCCTCTGTTCTTCCATCCCTGCCCTGCCCTCTCTGAGTGAGAGCCTAAGGAAACCCTGACTCCTTTCTGAGGACTTGGCCTTGCCCCCCCCCAAAAAAAGAAAAAAACCCGATGCCCCTGTGTCCTCATAAGAGCTCAAACATTACTGAGTGCCACACACTGGGCCAAGCATTGTTCTTTTGACCAGCACCTTTGTTTACTTACCTACCATAATCCTCACAATAATCCTGTAAAAACTTGGTTTAGAAAGCTTCGCCACCTCACCCAAGTTAGACAGGGGGGAAGCTGGACTCAAACCCAAGAGTTTACTGTTAGCCATCTTGTGATTCTGCCTCCCTCCCTACCTTCTCACCTTCTCACCTTCCCCTCCCCTCAGCTCCAGGCCCACCCCAAACCCTCTGAGACACAGGATGTGTGATCTTAAGTCTCCCCTCCTACACCTGGGTCCCATAGTACAGCCCAGAGATGGGGCACAGGGAACAGGAGAGTGGAGGGGCGGGTCTAGAAGACAGAGCTTGGGGCCGGAAATTGTTTCCAGGACATCAGTTGCCCGTGCGTTTTGGCCACCCCTTCAGAGGTGATCCTCTACCTTCCCTTTTACTAGCTCTAGTGGGGGGAGGATGAGAGGGAAGTGTTTGGGGCTGGGAAAAGGAACCACTGGGAGGGTCTTGTGGAGATGGCTGGTAGACCAGATGCCCGGGTCACCTTTCGCCTTCTCTCCTGCCCTGTCCTGCAGTATGTGGCCTTCGCCTCCCTCTTCTTCATCCTCATCTCCATCACCACCTTCTGCCTGGAGACCCACGAGGGCTTCATCCACATCAGCAACAAGACGGTGACGCAGGCCTCCCCGATCCCCGGGGCCCCGCCGGAGAACATCACCAACGTGGAGGTGGAGACGGAGCCCTTCCTGACCTACGTGGAGGGCGTGTGCGTGGTCTGGTTCACCTTCGAGTTCCTCATGCGCATCACCTTCTGCCCGGACAAGGTGGAGTTTCTCAAGAGCAGCCTCAACATCATCGACTGCGTGGCCATCCTGCCTTTCTATCTCGAGGTGGGCCTTTCCGGCCTCAGCTCCAAGGCCGCCAAGGACGTGCTGGGCTTCCTGCGGGTCGTCCGCTTCGTGCGCATCCTACGCATCTTCAAGCTCACGCGCCACTTCGTGGGGCTGCGCGTGCTGGGCCACACCCTGCGGGCCAGCACCAACGAGTTCCTGCTGCTCATCATCTTCCTGGCGCTGGGCGTGCTCATCTTCGCCACCATGATCTACTACGCCGAGCGCATTGGCGCCGACCCGGATGACATTCTGGGCTCCAACCACACCTACTTCAAGAACATCCCCATTGGCTTCTGGTGGGCCGTGGTCACCATGACCACCCTGGGCTACGGAGACATGTACCCCAAGACGTGGTCGGGGATGCTGGTCGGGGCGCTGTGTGCCCTGGCCGGGGTGCTCACCATCGCCATGCCCGTGCCTGTCATTGTCAACAACTTTGGCATGTACTATTCGCTGGCCATGGCCAAGCAGAAGCTGCCCAAGAAGAAGAATAAACACATACCCCGGCCCCCGCAGCCCGGCTCTCCCAACTACTGCAAGCCTGACCCGCCCCCGCCGCCCCCGCCCCACCCTCACCATGGCAGTGGTGGTATCAGCCCCCCGCCACCCATCACCCCGCCCTCCATGGGGGTGACTATGGCTGGGGCCTACCCACCAGGGCCCCACACGCACCCGGGGCTGCTCAGGGGGGGAGCGGGTGGGCTCGGGATCATGGGGCTGCCCCCTCTGCCAGCCCCTGGGGAGCCTTGCCCATTGGCTCAGGAGGAAGTAATTGAGATCAACCGGGCAGGTGAGGAGGGGGCCTGAGGGGTGTATGGGGTGGGGGCGCACGGAGATGCATGGGAGGAGTTGGGGAGGTTTCGAGGGGGGCAGGAGGTGGATGCTGAGGTTCAGAGAGACGGGGCGTCAGCAACAGAGAGGGCTGAGAAAAGTGAGTGGCGATTGCTGAGGCCAGAGAAGGGGCGCAGAAATAGACAAGGACAGAGATTTTGTGTGACAGACAGTTGTTGAGAGAGACAGACTCGCCACCAAAGTACTGGGGGGCTGGGGGGGCCCAGGAGAGACCCAGGGAGAGAATGTCACACACGATTCATGGGCTGGCTGGAGACAAGAGGCCAAGAGATGGTTGCGGCATCTGAGCTTCCCAGACGCCCTGAAAAAAAGTCTAAAGGCCACAGAGTCTGAAACCTGGAGACTGCCAGTGAGAAGGGAGAGAGAGCCAGAGAGGACCGAGGCGGAGGGAGGGGTGGGGCGGTCAGGGGCCCAGAGTTCAGGTTGAATCAAACAGTGAGACCAAGAGAGGAAGTGAGACTTAAGACTACAAACTAAGGGTCTGAGAATGGCAGGGGAGGCAGGCCCAGCGGGTGGACTGGGCAGTGACTTGGGACCCGGGGCCCAGTCCCTGGCTCTGCAGAGAGGGGTCTGAGAGGTGCACAGAGGTGTTGTCAAGAGGAAAAGGTGGGACCAGCCAGTTGGGAGAAGAGTCGGCCGTGCCCTGAGTGTCCCTCCCCACCCCCAGGGGAGTCTGTGCCTCAGAGGCAGGGATTGGGGTGTTAGTCGGGGGAGGAGGGAGAGGCCGGTGGGCCCCACCCCCAAGCCTTAAGTAGGTCAAGAAAGGGAGCTGGGCCGCCCGGCCCCCCTGGCTTGCTCCCTCAGCCGCTGACCCAGTTTCACACCCATTAAAAATAGCTCGAGTCAGAGCCTGGGGGACCCCCACTTCCCCCTCCCTCATCTGTCACCTTCTAACCCTTCCTCGCTGTGTCCTTACCGGCACCCAGCATCCCTCCCTCAACAAGCACCTCCCAGCCCCCGACATTCCCACCAGCGTGTGTGCCAACCCGATGCCCAACCCCAGTCCTGCCCTGCTGTCCACCCACCTCTTCCCCGTGTCCCCCTCCGCCCATCCCTCCAATGGGTGCCGAACGCCCCACACCTGGCCCCAGCCCTGCCCTTCCCAGCGCCTGACACCTGGATGGACAACCTCTTCTTAGCACTCAGGGCCCTCCCTCTACCCCCCTCCGTCCAGTGCTGTCCCCTGCTCCCTCTTCCCCAGTGACTCCCCAAGCCCATCAGCCCTGCCCCCAGTCGGGCCCTCCGGCCACCTCCTTCCGCACCCTGCCCTTCAGTCACCTACTTGCAGCACCCAAGTCGGCCAACACCTTCTCCTGGCTAGCGGTGTCCCCACCGTGAGTTTCCGTGCCTCACTCTTTCCTTTGTGTCTCTGTCTGACCCTGGGGACACAGATCCCCGCCCCAACGGGGACCCAGCAGCAGCCGCCCTCGCCCATGAGGACTGCCCGGCCATCGACCAGCCCGCCATGTCCCCGGAAGACAAGAGCCCCATCACCCCCGGGAGCCGGGGCCGCTACAGCCGGGACCGAGCCTGCTTCCTCCTCACTGACTACGCTCCCTCCCCTGACGGCTCCATCCGGAAAGGTGAGGTGCCCTCCGCTGGACCCCTGGGGCCCTCCCTCTCTCCCCCCTCCCCCAGGGGAGGGGGGAGAGGGGGATGGGGGAGGAGGTGCTGGACTTCCCTTCCCCCCTGCCGTCCCCAAACCTCCTCCCTCCCAGAGCCCCCCCCAACCCCAAGTTTCCTCACCACTGACCCTCCACCTGTCTTTATTCCATCTCCATTTCCCCCACCCCGACCCTCTGGCCTCTTCCCCCACCCCCAGCCACCGGTGCTCCCCCACTGCTCCCCCCAGACTGGCGTAAGCCAGGCCCCCCCAGCTTCTTGCCCGACCTCAACGCCAACGCTGCAGCCTGGATATCCCCCTAGTGGACGAACCCCCTCCCCCCCGGGGTAAGTAGCCCCCACCCTCTGAACCCCTGCCTCTCGACTAACCCCTCTGAGACAATGCAGCTCCCACTGACCGAGACTCCCGCCCCTTCGCCATGAAGAGCTCCATCCAGTTAACCTCACTCCTGACACTGACCCTGCACTCACCCGCCCAGGACTTGCCCTGCCCCTCACCGACCCCCCACAACTAACCCTGACCCTCCCCCCCACATGCCTGACCTCCCTCCCCGCCCTCGAGACTGACCCCCATCCTCACCCCCATTGACATCTCTCTCCCTGCACCCCCCCTTTTGGTTTTTTTAAAAATTCAACCCAGGAAAGGGGGTGCACACTCAGGACACTCTTCGGGGTGCATAATGGGATGAGAAAGACTCAGCCTCTTTTTTAGTCGCCTGGGAGCAGCTTCTAAAGCACCCACAGATTCCCCGCCTGGGACTTCATTTTCTCCGTTCGTTGGGAGAGGCAGACACAGATAGAGGAAGTCACCCCTTCGGGTGACATACGAGGACATGGAGGTGGCCCAGGGCCATAGAGTAAAGGAACACCCCCGGGGGTAGGAGGAAGCCACAGGAAAGACGTTCTGGAGGGACTGATAACTACTGACAGGGTTATCCTGACTGCCAGCGAGGACACAATCCCAGGTGACAATAGTGACGCAAGTGACAAGCACAAGCAAAGCTGGGAGACTGGGGGCTGACGTACAACCATGAGGCAGGAACGCAGGGCAGGGCTGGGCTGAGAGCCGGGGCCTTGTCCGGAAAGAGCAGGTCAGCTCTGGGCCCTCGGGGACGCACTGGAGACAGGGATGAGGGACCAGGGGAGAGGACAGGTCTGGAGCCTGGGTCATCCCTGGGCTGTGGGGATGGAGAGGAAGGAGACAGAGAGAGAGAGAGAGTCAGGGAACAGGAGGGGGAGGGCCAGCACTGGCCCTGGGGACATCAGGGGACGGAGGGAAGAGAGAGTTGTCAGTGAGTCATTCAGTGAACATAACCAAGCACTTAGCCCAGGCCAGAATTTAACGAATCTTCTGTAACCCTCCCAATGTCCCTAGCTAACCCCTTGCTCTATTTCTCCATCCACCCATCCATCCATCCATCCATCCATCCAGCAATTAACTATCCAGGGCACAGTTCCAGGCACTGAAGGTCTGGCATCGTGCCCAGCAAGAATCCGCCACCGCGGAGTTTATGCTCTGGGCCGTGGGGTGGCACAGTCCGGCCCTGGGGCCAGCTCCGTCGGCTGGCCGTTTCATAAATAAAGCTTTCCTGGGACAGTAGAATAGAACAGTTGGGAAAGACTGTGTGGCCCACAGAGCCCAAACTAGCAGGCCCTTTCCAGGAAAAGTTTGATACCCCCTGGGTGGAGGAAGCAGAAAATAAACAAGTTTAAAAGACAAAACAAAAAACAACCTCTTGCCCCTTTAGATAAGGGGGCCTGTGGAGGAGCTTTCTGAGGTGACTTGAAACCCGGAAGGGAGAAAGGGCCAGCCAGCCAGAGGGGACAGCAGGTGCCAAGGTCCTGAGGTCCCGGGGTGGGATGAGTTTGGGTTTTGGAAGAAGCATCAGGGAAGGAAGTGTGGCCGCAGCCGGGCAGCTGAAGGGAGAGGGGTGCCAGGCAGACCGTGCGGAAGGTTCAAGAGGGTGTTTGGGGACAAGGGGAGAGGCTGGGCTGATTTTAAAAGGGATGAAGAGCCCCCCTGAGGGAATTCGGCCCATCACTTCCTCATTCCACACACGTCTGTGGACTCTTCCTTAGAAATACAGACACGACCTAAATCCCTGTCCCGCAGCCTGAGGAGAGACTAGTGGGACGTGGGGAGGGGTGGGGAGGGTCCGGAGACAGACCTGTCTGAGCCCCCTTGTTCCTCGGAAGTTCAGGGAGGGTCGTGACTGTCCCAGGCCACACAGCGGAGGGGATGGGAACCAGAGGGGACCGTGTGGCTTTTTCATCCCTCCGCCTCCCCTTTCGTCAGCCCCCCCCCACACCATCTTCCATTTTCATCTCATTACCAGCCTCTCCCCACCCCCATCTCACCCCTGCCCCTGCTTGCACCCAGGCCTGTTCCCATCCTTTGTCCCCCCCACCCCCCAGGTCTGGATGGGCCCCTTGGAATTGAGGGGGAGAGGGGAGGATTTGGGGGTGCGGGGGAGGGGGGGCTGGAGGTGTGTGTGTGGGGGTGGTCTCTGCTTCTCTCGCCTCTGATGCCAAAATTCATTCATTGAACTCAAATAATGGCTGGAGCGGATGGGGCTGACTGGATCCTGGACCCCTTCTTCCTCTCCTCCCTCCATGACCCGCCCTCCACGATTGCCCTCCCCCCTCCCCCCTCCCCCCAAGGCCCCTCTCTCCCGTATGGTCCTCCACCTGCCCGGTGACCTCTCCCTTCTTCTCCATCTGCCCCCACCAGCCACCTGAGTCTAACACCTGACACCTGTTCCCCCTTCCTCCCCAGCCTTCCCCCTCCTCCTCCCTTGCCCCCCTTCTCCCCTCCTCCCTCCTCCCCCAGAACCCCAGCCACCCCGGAAGCTCCTTCCATATTTGATGTCTCTGGCGGCCCCCCATTTCACTGCTCCCCTCCCCCGGAAAACACCAGAGAGGAGGAAGAGAGCCGGCGTTTCTCCGACCCCCCAACAGTGACGCTGTGTTGGGGGGGTTCCCCATGACCACCCCCGCCCCCCACCATGACTCTGTGTATTTCTGTCCCCAGCTCTTGTCACCGCCTGAGACCTCGCGAGACCCTCGGTCCCCCCCTGCCCCTTCCCCCCAGGTTAGCAATGGGAAATGGCTGGGACGGGGTGTCCCCGAGGTAGTGGGCTTCCACCCCCCCAGGCTCGCTCTCCTGTGGCCAAGACACCGTTGTCCAGACAGACCCCTCGGCACCGCGTAGAAAAGCCCCCGACACTGGCAGAACTGTTAAGACATTGCCGAGCTTCCAAAGGAACCACTCACGTGCGCCCGGATCTTAGATCCCCGTGGCTATTCAGACACGGTTAGAACCTTCCCATCAGACGGTTCCCAGTGAGGGTCCCTAGCCCCTGAAAGAGGCCGCACGTGACCTTCAGGTGAGCCTCCACTCCCAGGCTGCCCTCCAAGCTATTCTCCGCCCCAGGGGCCCTTCAGGGCTTCGGCTCCATTCATTCAGCCCCTCACAGCGCCCCCTCTCCTTTCTCGACATCTAGCTGAGCCCCCCACCTCAACAGCTCTGCCAGCCCCTCCCAAGTCCTCCCCACGCTGCTCCCCTACATGCCTCCCACCTGAGCGCCCGCCGATGCCCCTGCCGCCACCATCCGCCTTGCTGCCCCCCCTACCCTTTTGCCTCAGATGAGGGGGCCAATGCGGGGAGGGGAGGGGGGCCGGGCTGCGTGGGGGTGGGGTGGGGGAGGCTCGGTGGGCGCCACCCTGCCTCCTAACCCTGAGTCTCTCCCCCCTCCCCATGTCTGAACCTCTCTCCGTGATGCGACTGACTGTCCGATTTGTTCACTTCTCTCTCTCTCTCTCCATCTCCTTGGTCCGCCTCTGTCCATCTCTCTGCTTCTTTCCCTCGTCTTTTTGTGTCTTGGTGTGTCTCACCGTCTCTTATCTCTCTCCATCTGGTATTCCTTCTGCCCGTTTCTCTCCTGCCCCCCTCCCTCCCTCCCTCCCTCTGTCGTGGGATCTCCCCGTCTATGGGACCCTCCCCATGCCCCCCTGCTCCATGCCTCCTCCCCGTGTTTCCGCCCCTCCCCCCAGGTTACGAGAAATCCCGCAGCCTGAGCAGCATCGCGGGCCTGAGCGGGGTGTCCCTGCGCCTCGCGCCCCTTGCCACTCCCCCCGGCTCTCCCAGGGCCGCCCGCCGCGCTCCCCCGGCCCTGCCCTCCATCCTCTAGCGCTCCCCTCCCCCCCGTGGGGGGACTCGGGGGTGACAGGGAAGAAGGTCAAAGGAGCTGGGGGTGGGGGGCTGGGGAAAGGGTTTTTTTTAAAAAATCAAAAAGTCATTAATAATATGCAACGGAGACGACCATGCCAGCAGACACCCCCGGGCCCCTCACACCGACCTGGGCCCCAGGATGGAGGGGAGGGGCCAAAGCCCGTGCCCCTCAACTCTCCGCCCCACCCCCCAAATAAAGCCTTCTCAGGTCTCCATGAGCCATAGGACATCCCCTCCCATCAACTCGTGTAAATATGTCCAAATTATGCCAGTTACATTTGGGGCACCTCCCCCTACTCTGCATGCCTCCCTCAGCCCGGACCCCTCCCCCCACAACTCCACCTCAGCAATAAGCGCCGGGGGGGCTGCATGCCACGCGGTTGCGGGAAGGGGCACTCTGGGAAGGGGTGGGGACCTCAAGGGGGCAGGGCTGGCCTTTAAGCCACAGGAGGGTTTCCTGGCCTCCTGCCCTGCACCCCCGGAGGGCAACCCATCATGCACTGATTTTTACAAAATAAGTAGTGACAACGTGGGGGAAGGAGGAACAGTGACCCAAGCCAAAAACCGGAGCTGAGCCCAGATGGGAGTGGGGAGGGGACTGTGGACAACGGCTCTCTCAGCCTTTAGGACGCTCCCTCTGGTGAATGGCATCCTCTCGCCCCGCCCCCCCATCTGCTCGCCTCGGTTCTCGCTGCATGGACTCAGGCCTCTGGTCCCGGACCTCCCGGGGCGATCTGGCCCCGGCACACGAAACTCCCCCGACACTTCCCCGAGATTCCCAGGACATGAGACCTGCACCCAGAACTCCTGACTCGGGCCCTGGCACCCCGCATCCCCCCAAACCTCCACACACTCCTGGAACGTAGCCTCTGCGCACAGATGCTGCCCTCCACCGCCGCCCACTCCCTGGAGTGCATCCCTGCACCTCTCAGTCCTCCAAGAGGTGGCCGCGCTCTGCAGCTCACTTTCAGCCTTTGGGATGCTCCAAAACCTTCCCCGTCCCGGACATTTCTTGGACACCCCCCAAATCCTCAGGCCTCAAACCACCAGACACCCCCACCCCCACATCTCTGGCATCAGACACCCACCTCAGGTTCCCCTGCCGCTAGAATTTCCCAGATGGGCCCAACCTGTCTGCAATTCCAGGGGACCTGGCCTTTCCAGGGGACCTCCTTTCTAAGGCCCAACCCTGCCCCCCAACAGCATCTTCCCTTAAGTGGTACCCTCTTCATGGATACCACTGTCTCCCCGAGGGTCGTGCTTGTGCCTCTGCCAAAGCGCTGAGGTTTTAGCAAGTGCCAGGACAAACGCCGGAAAGGTTTTGTCTTTCACGGCACTTCGCACCTAGGCCGGTAAGTCCAGGTACAACTGCTGCTTGGCCAGAACACCGTTTATTTAGGTCAGAAGTGTCTCCATGTCGAGCAGAGACTGTGGCCGAACGGCCGGACACCGGAACATCAGGAGCTTAGGAAAGGCCAGCCTGCCCACTCGGGCTGGCACCCCAGCCCGCCATCCCCCGGCGTTCCTCGCCCCGCCACGCCCGCGGGTGGAAATCCACTTCTCATATCCCATCCTGGCTCAAGGATGCGCTACCTCCCCCACGCCCGGGGACAGCACCGGTCCCAGAATCTTTAGAGGACCCCCCCTTTTGGAGCTGGGGGGGTCCACAGAATTAGCAACCTTCCTCCCTCTGCTCCCACAGCCTCAGGAACCGCCCCCACCCGAGGGTTGGGGAGGAGGGTCCACTGAGCGCGATTCTTGATGCAACGATTCCTATGCAAGGGGCATTTTGAGTCCCCCCCTCCCATCCTTCCCTCGGACCCTAAACCCTGGCGAATCAGGGGTGAGGGGTGGGGCAGGTTCTGCGGGGAGCGTGGCGGGGCAAAGGGCTAGGGGCTCCAGACACCAGGGTATGGGGGTGGGGACTGATTATATTGCCAAAGGGTTCAACTTCTTAAAAAAAAAAAAAAAAGCCCCCCCCCCCGCCCCAGATTCCCCAGACCCTCACGGAAGCCAAACGGTGCGGGGAAAGGGGGTGAGGATCTTTTCCAAAGGGTACAGACCTCTTCCCAACGTCTCCCCGCCCCGCGCTCGCCGACCTGCCACACGTACCCAGCTTTTTAGTTCAGCTTTTAACAAATAACCACGATCATGATGAGCCTCTACAACACGTGACTCCCACCCCCACAGCCCCCCTCCCCAAATCAATAAACAGTGTGGGGTTCGGGGACCGGGAGAGAGCGAGCTAAAGGGACGACTCGCAAGTCCCGCTCCCCTTTCCCCGCCCCCACCCCACCACCACCCCCCCGGCCGCCAGGGCGCCCGCAACTACACGCATGCGCTGCATGACGCGCTCCCCGCACGCATGCGCGCCGCTCCTGCGCTCCGGGAACGCACGCGCACGGGGCGGGGGCGGGGCGACCGGGGAGGGGGGAAGGGCGGGGGGCTTCCCGAGCTCGGCGGCTCCCTCTCCCCCAACACACACAGCAATAAGTTTCTCTCACTCAAACGTGGGTGGGGCGGGCCTGGCCTGTCCACGTGTAGGGGGGGGAGTGGCAAGGGGGCGCTCTCAGGGATGGGGGCGGGTGTCCGGAGTCAGCGAGGGGAGGAGAGGTCTGCAAATCGTCCAACTCTGGTGCTAACGGCGGGTCTTCTCAGCCCACCCCCAGGGCCGGGAGGGAGGGGTCGGCACGGCCCCTCCCCCAAGCCTCCCCCACGCCCACCCTGGGTGCATGAACCGCCCAATGCAGAAGCTGCCGCATGTCACCCCCCCCCAAAGAAAAAGTGTCATGGCCCCTTCCACCCACCCTCTCATTCCCCACCAAAATTAAAGTTTCCTTTTCATTTAAAAATTGCGTCCTGTTTATGTGCTGGGAAGGCTTTCCGGTCGGGGCTGGGGAGCTTTGGGGGGTAGACAGAGGGATTGCGTCTTCAAGAGGAGGAGTCCGATTAAAATGGCATGGGTGTGCATTTGGGGGGCCCAGACATCCCCTTGATCACCGGCTCTCACCTTGTGATTTGGGGGTGAGTGCCTGCCTACACCCCTAAATGGAAAGTGCAAGGGCACCTGGGTGAGCTCCTCAGTGAGCATGACTAGTCCCCAAGGGCGGAGCGAACCGGGGTCTCAAGATTGGCAGATTGGCAGATTGTGTTCCGGGGCTGAGGGTCGCACCCTGCATAGGGCTGACTGTGAAACGGTCTGCATGGGTTCAACTTCTGTAGCTGCGTGTCCTTGGGCAAGCCTCTCAACCTCTCTGTGCTTGTTCTGCTACTCACAAAGGCTAGGACGGGGTGATCTAGTCATCCAGCAAATGATTTGAAAGCCAACTGGGAGCCCGGGAGCTGTCCTAGGTGCTGAAATCCAATGCGATCCTTGCCTCTAGCGGTTATGCTGAGAATTGAGACAAGTGTCCCGTGTTCAGCACAGTTAAATAAATGGTCGCAGACTCAACGAAGTCACTGCTGTCAGTTTTGCAAAGACTTGAGAGTCACTCAGAGGCCAGAGCACAGCAAGTACCCCTTCCGCCACTCACTGACTGGGACGTTTGGAGTGAAGGACATCGAGGCTCTGAGCCTCGGTCTCCTCGTCTGTACAATGGAGGCAATAACTCAGAGGGAGTGGGCTGGGGGGTGGGAAATGTCCAGTACCCAGGCGGTCCCCCGGCACGGGCCAGCTGTGATCGGAACCGGAAGACTGCTCCACCTGCAGCCCCAGCAGGCGGAAGGAGCCGGTGCCCTCTGGACCCATCAGAGATGTCCCCCTGCAGGAACACACACCACTCCAGGGGGGTCCAGTCGGGGCTGGAGTTTATTTCTGCCACAGTTGGAGGCTGGAGGGCCAGGGAGCCTCTCCCAGCCCCTCCGGGAACTCCAACTGAACTGCGATCACACATTAGCAACCAGAAGGGAGGGCAGAGCATGGGAAGAGGGGGGCAATACAGGCCCCCTTATCCTTCCCCTCTGCAAGAATCAAAGGCCAGTGGAGTCCTGGGAGTGAGAGGGGGCCCGAGGAGGAGAGCGATGGGCATCCCTGGCTGAGGAGGGCCGGGGGTCACGCTCCCATCCTAGTGAAAACCGTTAACACCGAAGGAAGGACCGGAGCTATATGAGACCACAGCGTGCCAACTACACCCGACTCCGCACTCCAGGGAGAGAGCCCCGGTCCTCGCCTCCCTGCTCCCGGCTCCGCAGTGTTTACAGGAGGTCTCAGGGGGCCCTCCGGGGTGGGGTTGGTAAGTGCTGTGGTGCCAGCAGGTGGTGCCATGTCCAAAGTGCAAGAAGCCACAGGGTGGGTTCATGGGACCAGCACCTGCCAGGGCCAGGGAGGGAGGGGCTGACAGCTGAGAGCAGGGAGGGGTCACTGGGGCTGCGCTTCTGGGGACCCGTCAGGCTCCGGGGGCTGCGGTCCAGACCCCGGCT